GGGCCGGGGGGTCTCTGGACCGGAGTTGGGGATTCGGTTGGAGGGGTGGGGGGTTCGGACCCGGATGAAGGGGTCCGATCTTGGGGGGCGGGGGGCTCTGGGCAGGCGTTGGGGGAGGGGAACCAGACTTCACCGAGGGAGGGGAGCGCTGTGCTGCGGGGCAAGATCTGACTTGGGGACAGGGGTCCAGACTGGGGGGGTCCCACTTCCCGGGGGGATCCAGACTTCTGGGGGGATCCAGACTCCAGGGGGGGCGGGGGGGGGCGCTGCCCTGGTGACTGATTGCAGAGTCAGGTCCTGACTCACCCGGAAAGGGCCACCCTCGGCCTCGGAGCTGGATCGGAACCTCGGGAGCGGGATAGTGAGGGCCCAGGCCCAGAGGGGTTCGGGGTGTCCCCCGCAGGCTCTCTCTTAGAGGCCTTGGGGTACCCCAGGCCGTTCCCTTCACAGGAACCGGCTGCCCCACCAGGGAGGCCATGACAGTAGCCCAACCAAGACTCACGCCACCCCTTGAGAATGTAGAGAAAAGGGAAGTCGCCCCAGGCCTGACCTGCTAACTTTTGGGGTTTCCAGCCAGGGACGTCTGTGTCCTTTGCTGGGACTGAGCTGCCCTGAGTGCTATGGGGGGCTCAGAGGGGCAAGTCCTGTGAGGGGGGCCGTGTCACAGATGAACACAGCCAGACACTAGCTCAAGCGGTGAGGACGGATTTTATTCAGTAAATGCTGAGAGCAGGGGAAAGCGCTTGATATACTCAGAGGACCTGGATGTGTTTTATATATATATATTTTTATTGATTTTAGAGAGGAAGGGAAAGGGAGAAAGAGATAGAAACGTCAATGATGAGAGAGAATCAATGATCGGCTGCCTCCTGCACGCCCCACACTGGGGAACCCAGCTTTGACCACCTGGTTCCTAATTCAACACTCAACCACTGAGCCACACGGGTTGGGCAAAACTGGGTATTTTTAAAAGGGGGAATAAAATGGGGGGGGGATATCAGGGGGTGGGGGCTTGAGAGAGTCGGGAAAGTGAAAAATTACGAAAAGCAGAATGGGGGGTTGGTCCACGTGACGCTTACTGGAAAGGGGACCTGGCCCTTGTCGGGTCCACCTCAGGCCAGTCGGTAGGTAGTGTGTGGGTTTTTGACTTTGTGCAGGAAAAATGTGACGAGTCCAGATGAATTTTAGAGGACGCTGGTTAAAGTTGGGGACAGTGAAGCAAGAAAGGGCTGGGGAGACGAGCCTGGGCTCACTAAGAGGTCAGAGAAAAGGGGGCCTTGGGGTCAGGTTTAGGAGGTTTGCCGGGACGAATTGCCACTAACCATTGTTGCCCTGGTTGTAAGCCTTGTGGGGTCACTTAGAGTTTAGGAGATGCATCCCTGTGGAGAAAGGAGGGGAAGAAGGGACGAAGGCTTAGGTGTGCAAACACCCGCTGGGACCTGCCTTCTCAGGGGATTTAAAGTCTGGGCATTTAGGGGAGGTCTTAGGAGAGGGTCGCAATAGAATATTCATCCGCTTTATGCTGATGTACCAAAAGGAGATTTATGCTCTTAACCCAGTGGTTCTCAATCTTCCTAATGCCGTGACCCTTTAATACAGTTCTTCCTGTTGTGGTGACCCCCAACCATAAAATTATTTTCGCTGCTACTTCATATCTGTAATTTTGCTCCTGTTATGCATAGTCATGTAAATATCTGATATGCAGGATGTATTTTCATTGTTACAAATTGAACATAATTAAAGCATAGTGATGAATCACAAAAACAATATGTAATTATATACGTGTTTTCCGATGGTCTTAGGCGACCCCTGTGAAAGGGTCGTTCGACCCCCAAAGGGGTCGCGACCCACAGGTTGAGAACCGCTGTCTTAACCTCATCTATCCTTGGGTGTGGTGGGCAAATGGCACTAATTGGATTTCTGCTGTCTCCCCAAGTAAGGTATTTAAGCTATTTTCCCTCTGGTTGGGAAGAAGTGCAAACCATTGGCTCCTAAGTGCCCTTGGTTTAGGGGAGATAGGATTTGCTAGGTGTCTAGAAACTGCTTGGCATCTAGATTTTCTAGATGGCTGCAAACGGCAGTTGCACTAGCCGTCTCAGTTTCCCGCTGCTGCTTGTCCTGGCTTCCTAGCTTGCTAAGTGGCACTTGTGGAAGTTAAGTTCCTCCCCACCCTCACCCCCCACCACCCCCACACACACAGAGGCGGGGAGACAGGTGTGTCCTCGGTTATTGTCTGGAACAGGCAGGCACCTTAAGGGAGGGATGGGGTCATCCTGGGGATGGATGGATGCAGCCTTGAGCTGTTAGAAACTATGTTAGTATTTGTTCAAATCTGTATAGGCCAAGGTCGAGGCCTAGTTGAGACGAAGGCTCAGAGGAGCCAGGTAGGGTTTGGTCAAGGAGAGAGTCCTTATCAAGTCCTGTTCTCGTCGAAGGAAAGAAGAATTAAACAAAGTCCATGACCATTGCCTGTTTGGTCATCTTTTGTTCATTAAGGAACAGCTGAACCATCTGTTGGCACTTGGTAATAGAAGATATTTGCTGGATGGTGCAAGCTATGAGGCATGAAAAAACATGTTTTTATTTATTTTAGAGAAAGAGGAAGGGAGAGGGCGAGAAAGGGAGAGAAACATCATTGCAAGAAACATGTATCAGCTGCCTCCTGCACACCCCGTCCTGGAGACTGAGCCTACGACCTGGTGGGGAATTGAACTGGCGACCTTCTGGTACATGGGATGATGCTCAACCAACTGAGCCACACCAGGCCAGGGCGTGAGGAACATTGTTATGGAAACAGGAAGCAAAGCAGAGGAACTGACTGTAAACCCAGTTTGTGAGTCCTGCGGGCAGACAGTTGAGAAAAGTTTAGATTTGAGCTCTAAGGGTCTGTAGGTGGTGGAGTGAGGATGGCGGTCGCAACCCAATGGATTTCCGGTGTGTAGTTTGAAAGTTTGTGGTGATGGCCTCCTAGACATGAGTGTCACAGGCAAGGTTATGTCCTGGAGCAGAGCCTGGAAGATGCAGGAGTTCCCAGGGACTTTCCGAGTGGCCCATGCAACAGCCACTCCAATACAGGGGCTGCCCGTACATGATTTGTTGTGGTGATGAGTTCTTCGAAAAAAATTTTTAATGTATTTTTATTGATTTCAGAGAGAAGAAGGGAGAAAGAGAGAGAGAAACATCAATGATGAGAGAGAACCATTGATCGCCTGCCTCCAGCACGCTTGGGGATTGAGCCCACAACCGGGGCGTGTGTCCTGACCCGGAATCGAATCAGGACCTCCTGGTTCATGAGTCAGCCTTGACTACTGAGCCACACTGGCCTGGCTTTGAAATTTATTTCAAGTTGTGGGGCTCTTTCAGATCCTGAAGGAAAAGGGGCAGCTGCAACACAACCTGAGTCCCAGTAAGGGTCTGGGCAGTCAAGTTTTAGATGCTGAGTCAGGAAGAGAGAGTAAAATGGAAACATCAGTTTGGAGAATTGGAGCCAGATATTGAAGGAAACGAAAAATGATTTGGTAAGGGCTGACAATATGTGTAAGATGGCAGGATCCCATCTCCTTCCTCTGTAGATGATAAAATCTCGAAGACAGTGAACAGGAATGGTGTCTTCAGGGTGTGTTATTTTTCTCCTTTGAGAAATTTATCTCTACAGTCACTTCTTCCTTTTTGATCAAAGATAACCAGAGTTTAAAAAAAAAAAAAAAGATAACCAGAGTAATTATTCTTGTTTAAAATAATTCTGGTCTCATTAAATTTGGCCCAATTTATTTATATAAGAAACGTCCAAACCTGTAGAGAATTTTTATGAGTTTACTTGAGCCAAACTGCCAGTTGCCCGGAAGCAACTCTCAACGGCTTGAGAAAATGCTCCCGAGAAGGGCAGTTGGGTAGCTCAATTTGTACGTTAGAATAAAAGGAAGAGATGTAAGGAGGGTTACATGAAACCCATTAGTGATAGACTAAGGGGGCAGAGGAAGCAAAACAGGGGTGCGGGAAATCTCAGGGATTAGATATAAAGTAAACCGGAGCCCTGGCCAGAGTGACTCAGTAGGTTGGGGGTCGTCCCGTGCACCGGGAGGTTGGATTCCTGGTCAAGGGCACATGCCCAGGTTGCTGGCTCAATCCCCGGTAGGGGACGTGCAGGAGGCAGCCTATTGATGTTGCACTCTCACATTGATGTTTCTCTCCCTCTCTCTTCTCTCTCTCTCTCTCTCTCTCTCTCTCGAAAAATCAATAAACTATTTTTTAAAAAGTGAACCGGAGAGACACATATTTCCTTTACATGAGTGGTTACAGCACAGTCATAATTAACATTGACAGCACATAGCGATGGCGTGTGGGAAACAAGATAACAATGAGGGCTTCTGTGGTCTGGTGCTCTGGTGCCCGGAGGGGTCTGAAAAAGAAGATTACTCTGATATTTCAAAGGTATGTTACCTTAAAGGCAAAAAGCAAAACCAAAGTAGACAGGCTGGCTCAAGATAAAGACTGACCTTTGTCAAGGCAGCTACGGGCCTTGACTGCCCGCCAGGACTCACTTTTAGTTAGGACTGTTTGTGTTCAGACCATCCTGCGTGGCGAC